AAGGAAGAAAAGGCTCTCATCAACGCTCAAGTCTTGGCAGACTTCAACAAATCCATCGAAAGAAGAATAAAGGATATGTCGTTCGCCTCCCGCTCAAGGATGATCACAAGCGGTTACCCGACAACAGAGCTCTCGCACTTCATCGCCTCAGGAGCATTGTGCAAAAGTATAAGGATAAACCTGAGCTTTTACAGAAGTATCATGAAGTTTTCCAAGAGCAGCTCAACAAAAACGTTCTGGAGGTAGTAGATGAAAGTCAAGAAAAACCATACAAGCAACGGCACTATCTCCCGCATCAGCCTGTCATCACTCCAGACAAGGACACTACCAAATTCAGAGTGGTATTTGATGCATCCGCGCACTACCGAAACTGCCCTTCACTCAACGACGTTGTGCATCAAGGGCCTACAATTCTCCCCAAACTGTTCGGTATACTTCTTCGCTTCCGCACAGGAAAGCACGTTCTCCTTTCGGATGTCGAAAAGGCATTTCTACAAGTACATCTACACAAGGACGACAGGGACTTTACCAGGTGTTTGTGGCTGAAAGACATAAGCAAACCAGTCACCGAGGACAATCTAAGAGTGTTCAGATTCACAAGAGTCACATTTGGCATCAATGCTTCGCCATTCCTGTTGAGCGCAACTATCTTATACCACTTGAACAACTACGTAGGAAACAAAGTCCTGGCAGAGGAGATCGCATCAAATCTGTACGTAGACAACTTATTCGTAAAAGCGGAATCCGTTGCTGAAGGTATCCAGAAGTACAAGGATCTGAAAGCAATCTTCAACGAGCTTAAAATGAACTTGAGAGCATTCGTATCCAACAGTTCAGCGATAACGAAAGCGATCACATCAGAAGATCAATCGTCAAATTCATCACCCAAAGTACTCGGACTGCGATGGGATTCCAAAACGGATGAGTTCTCTATTGACGTAAAAGTCGAACCACAAGGACAAACCAGCAAACGGTCAGTAGCTCAACAGATTGCATCGGTATATGACCCTTTTGGATGGCTCATACCTTTACTTGTGAAAGCTAAGCACTTCCAACAACAACTATGGAAGGAGAAGTATAGTTGGGACGAACCATTGAGTGAACGTCTGCAAGAAGAATGGCGTTCAATTGCAAAAAACATGAGTACTTTCCACAAAAAGGTTCCTCGAAGGATCGCTGATTGCACAACCAAGCATACGCTAACCACGTATTGCGACGCTAGTGGGATAGCCATGACGGCGTGCACATACCTAGCAACCGAGGACGATTCCAACTTCCTCATAGCCAAGTCAAAGGTTGCGGACTACAAACGTCCAGCTACAGTACCAAAAATGGAAATGAATGCAACAGCAATAGGAGCACGATTGACTCTAAACACATATCTGAGTCTGAGATCGGTAACCCGCATCACCGGAGTCATTATTCTATCCGACTCAGAAATTGCATTGAATTGGATAAGGAGTTCATTTCACAACAAAGGTATAGGTGCATATGTTAAAAACCGAGTCAAAGAAGTCTACAATATCGTTAACGAATTAGAAGAAATGAACATCCAAGTCCAGTTTGGATACATCGACACCAAAGAGAATCCCGCGGACGTAGGAACACGTGGAGCATCAGCTGAAGAATTCTCTTCTCACGTTTGGTGGAAAGCCTACTCACTCCGAAGTATATCGGAAAATGGCATTAGCACCTCATTTTTCACCATAAAGGTCAAAACTGACGATCACGAAGAAAGCGAACCAATAGAAACCTTCGTGGCAGCTTCATCCACAGGATTAGAAACATCACACAAACCAAAGGACTTGGTAGACCTCTCTCGGTATAGTAGCAAAACGAAGGTTTTGAGGATAATTGCATACGTCATCAAATTCGTCAGACGTACCACAGAACGGCTGCAAGTTTCGATAAGAAACAAACTGCAACCCTATTTGAGATATACTCACAGTCGAGGTCAAGGAAATCACCTCACTGCTGCCGACATTCAGGACGCTCATTGCGCATTGATTAAAAATCACCAAGCTGTCCACTTACATCAGCAGAATAAGAAAGAGCTGTTCAAAAACCTCAACCTGAGAAAGGGCAAAGACCTTCTCATACGAGCATACGGACGCATAAACAAGTCAGATCTGGATGAAGAGACCAAAAACCCGCTTCTCGTCTTACCTAACACAGAGCTGTCTCGTCTCATAATACTAGAAGCACACGGAAAATATCACAAAAATGTTGGACACACAATAGTGGAAGTAAGGCATCTATACTGGATTCCACGGCCTCCGCGAGCAAGTCAAGAAGTGCATCAGATCATGTGTACCATGTCAAAAGATGAACAGTTTGCCTTATAAATATCCTGAGATGACGGATCTTCCGAAATATCGAGTAACAAGATCACGACCATTCCAACATACAGGTCTGGACTATTTCGGTCCTATTCCCATCTACGGAAACAACATGGAACGCATGGAAGCTCATGGGTGCATTTTTACATGCTCAGTAACTCGACTTGTTCATTTGGAAATAGTGTCTAACGCTACAACAGAAAACTTCTTGAATGCATTCCGTCGTTTTGTCGCTCGACGAGGAAAACCAGAGCAAGTGATTTGCGACAATGCTCCCATATTCATCCTTGGGAGTCAAATCATCAACGACAGCCTCGGCAATAATCCGACTATTTCGGCAGATGAGGACGTGCACCGAGAAATGAGCAATCAGCAAATTGAATGGAAGCATATTACGCCCCATTCGCCTTGGAAAGGCGGATTCTATGAACGCCTTATCAGATCGATCAAACAGGCACTATATAAGACGATAGGAAGGCGAATACTCACAATGGAACAGCTTCAGACATTCTTAACTGAGATCGAAGGCTGCATCAATAGTAGGCCACTCACCTACCAAGAAAGCAGTTTCAACGACGTCCTACGACCACTACGCCCCGTAGACTTCATTCAACGAGAAATCAATCTCGACATGTCATTGAAACTCCCTGAGGAGGAAGGCACAGATCCAACCTTCCTTCCTGCATCGGAAACCCTCCAGTTGGAGACGAGAATCCAGGCTCAAAAGGCGCTCCAATCTTCATGCGACTTAACAGAAAGATATTGGGAAAAATGGAAAACGCATTACCTCACAGCTTTACGAGAACAACATCGTCAAAACATCGACAACAAGCGTGGGAGCATCAAGAAAATTGAAGAAGGACAAGTTGCACTCTTAGTAGACCCACTCATGAAAAGGAACCAGTGGAAGCTTGCTCGTATCATGAAATTAATGCGAAGTCAAGACGGAGAAGTGAGAGAAGCGCAGGTCATCTGCAACGGAAAAACTTTCAGACGCTCGATCAACCACTTGGTACCCCTCGAAATTCAAGGACACAACTGTAAATTCAACTCGGATTCCTCGGGAAGTAAGTCAAACACGCAACATTCGCCAACGGAAAGCAGCAATCCGCATTATAACTTACGCCCCAGGAAATCACAGACTCAATACGCGGAATCACAACATGTACATAGTTTCCAAATAAGGAATTCTACCCCGTTGTGGCCGCTCTCATTGTATATGAAAATGGCTCTTATGCTATCTATCTTCACGGTACTGAATGGAGACAAACATTCCACTTTAAGAGTTGCTGGTGCAAACTCAAGGAACCGAGTTCAATGCTCAAATCGAGGACCATACCTCTCTCCATCACATAAAGAAGAATTGCAAAATCATGTACATGAACACTGCTTCATAGAAGAAGTATCAGTGCATAAAAATCTATTTCCTTTATGCCTAAAGCCAGAACGCCAAGTTCATGCAACGTTTAGGCGCTATGCAGGCAAAACTTTTGGCCTAGGACATGGTAATCAACCACAGAAAACAGGAGCAAATACCATTTTCTTCTACCATCATTGTACCTGGAATCACATTCAGAGCATCATGTGCATTTTTTACGGGCATCACTCAGATCTGTTGCCAAAGGAAGTGCAAAAAATACTCCAAATAGGACTCTGACCAAGTTAAGGACGTTGCATTACTAACCGAAACGCATAAATCAGCTTTATTCAACATAATTGTAATACTCCACATCATAACACACTAATCACGCAATGTTTTAGAGAGATGTCACACGAAAAGGACGATGAATTCACCAGAAGACGTCGCGCAGAAGAACAAGCGCTCATCGAAACAATTCGATACAAAAGGAAGCGCATCAAACTGGCACCTTCCTTTCCATCAGAAGATGAAATTCAACGCAAAATTCGTTCTATTTTAAGTTCTGTCATTGATCTCATTCAATCTGATAATCTCTTTGATTACTTCTCTGAAATCCGCGGTCGTAAACCCCAGTTCTTTGCAAAAAATGAAGCCACTCTCTACAAATGTCACTTGGAAAAGGTGCATCTGCAGGCATGTCACATCACGGACAAAATTCGGTGTGGAACAGAAGCATTGTCAATGGGTTACGATCTCTACGGTCTTCTTGTTCAGGCGGAGGACATTTAGCAAGTTCCAGAGACAAGTTTTTTGAAGAGGAAATCAAAGGAGTGTCGTTTGACCCTACTTTTACAGCAGAGTTTGTTCGCAAGGAACTCGAGTTTTTGGAGGATTTTTGTCAGAAGATCCAAACGGAAATCCGAGAAGCCGAGCTACAACAGAATAATGAGACTCATGAATCTCTGTCCGAAGAAATCAAGCGCATCCTGGCCAATCTGGAGCAGAAAATTGATGAGAAGTTCGAACATTCAGTCAGCAGCAAGAGCAATTTGGTCGCAGGATAACCGATCTCGAGAGCAAACTCGACAAGACACGGGAGCATTGCAGTCAACTGCAAGAAGAAATCAAGTGCATGCTGAAAGAGCCTAAGGAATCTACCAATGTCGTCTCGGAGAAGCATTCGCAGTCACCTGTAGTCACTCCCTCGAGACCGAGCATCGAGGAAGACCTTTTGGATTTAGAAGATGACATCGTTTTCCAAAACTCCGACGAAGGAGACGTCGACGACAACAACAATGCATCGGAGAAGCCGACAGTCGAAGAGGAAAGACTAGAGCTAGAACATCGATTGAACGTTTTGAGAAATCTTGTCCATATGGAGCGCAAAGTTCCAGAAAGAAAGATAAGCATGCGGCGCGCGATGTAATGCAAAGACCGCTTCCTACGATGTTCATGGCGCGTATACGAAGTTATTACGGCAAAGGGATTTCATTATAGCGATAGTTGCCCTGAAGTCCCCACCGTGAAAGGTCGACTTAAACGCATTCGTTGTGAGCATTGTTTGGACATCCGGCATGAAACCGTCAACTGTTGGAAACTCAAAAAAGAATGCATGTATTGCTCTTCCACGGATCATAACAAGGCCATATGCACACTCCCAGAGCGCATTTACGAATATTACCGGGAGATCGAAGAAATCGAGCGAGAGCTCGAAGAAAACAAGGAATACTATTACAAGCCCGGGGTGGACCACCCGAAAGGGGGAGTATCACGACGGTGATCATTGATTTGATTTGATCACTCCCAGATCGCGCGGGAAACCCCATATATAAGCCAATGTTTTGCCTTGAAGTGTTCATTACTCCAGACGTCCGCGGATTGTGCATCCAGGATAGAGCATCCCTTTGATTTCGTGCATTCTTGCTTATCGCGCACTCTTGCTTATCGTGCATTCTTGTTTATCGCGCATTCTTATTTATCGTGAATTCACTTGTTCATCGTACATTCACTTGTTATCTTACACTCATCCATCGTATCTCATCATTCGAAGTCAATTTGTTCGCATGTTCTATTTTGCTAGCTTTATTTTGGGGCGGGCTTAAAGCTAGCTTTATCGATTGTTCACCCATGGCCATTGATGTTGTATATTGATTTATCATTAATTTATCTGATGTCATGAATCTCTCCTAAGTCTTATTGGTTTGCCTATGACTCATTGAAGATCATGTCGTTTATTCACTTCCATCTTGATTCTCATACCGTATTTACTCACCTTGATACCTAAGAAGTTGTTCGTTGATGTTATGTCGTACTGTTGTATTGTTATTGTTTATTAATGATGCATAAACGTTTAATTACCCAAGTTTGAGTTTGAGCTGTCTGCACGAGTCGGTCATCATCCGTACCTACCGCGACAGATTTCTGACAGCGACTAGTAAAAACGGCACATACGCAAAAATCGCGACACGACGGCGAGTTTTGGCGATCGGCCCCGTGCGACGAATGAGCTGACCCCAGGGGGAGAGAGAAACGCTACGATTCATGTAGAGGGCGACCAATATGTACCCCTGAGTACATTTAGTGTCTCTGCAATCCCCATGCACTTTCCCCTTTCTCTGCACGTCATGTAGAGCGTGTTTGCATCCCTGCCATGTCGCAGAGCGAAGAGAAGAAGGGTGATTGGTGATAGGTGTTGAGGAAGCCACCGGAGCTATCGATAATATTGATAACTTTCTGCCAATAAGGTGTCCCCAGCTGTCCCCATTATTGTTCCACTTATTGATTGTGTTACAGCCCCTTCCTTGGTCATGGGAGCATTTCACCTCTATACAATTTCATGGAAATGGTCTCCAACCTAACACGTCGATTGGCGCAGCGGGTTCGTTCCGTGTGGACATAGGATCGGTCGCGGGATCAGTTCCATTCGAAACCCAAGGTTTTGCAACCCTCTCAGGTTACTACCTTGCATTCTACAATTCTTTCAAAGTGAACCAGCAGTGCTTTGTGGTGCAGTGTCAAGCGTCAGTAGTAGAGCAGGTACAGCACTCAGTGCGTTACGCACGCCGATTGCAAACATGTACATGGGTACGGTATCGAGTTGCAGTTTGTAGCCTGGTAGAGTAGGCATTAGGCAATTACTTAATTCGACGTCAATCAACTAACAAATTGTCATCTCGCATCATTATTTGATGTTATGGCTCGCTCTCGATTATTCGCGTATCTAATGAGACGTAGGGTTAATACTTTATACAATCATCTTGTAGTCCTCTGCAGGGCTCTCCTGTTATTTGTTGAAGTCTGCCAAGACTTGAGCGTTGATGAGAGCCTTTTCTTCCTTTTCAGGGCCGCAGAATTCCTTTTCTGCTTGATGAGGCTGTATTGTCCAATGGTGTTCCCACTGACCAAGTGTTTGATAAGATGACTCAACAGTATGCACTGAGTAACTCTGTTGGCCAGGGTCATCTTCTTTATTGCAGTTGCGCTTCCCAGTGACCATATAACCTAGTCGTGTCGGTACTAGAACAAGACCAGATGGTAAAATGAAGTTTCGTTCTTCGAAGTTCATAAAGTTCCATAGCTGGTCACAGCCTATGAGTATCTTTGGAGAATGAGCTTCTCCTTCTTTTGGAGCACTCAGGATGAGATGATTATCACGAATGAACTGAAGGTCCTTTTCTTCAAGGCGCCTTCTGTGATAATTCCTCGTGAGTCCATCGTGTGTGAAAACTCGTAGATTATGTTCTTTTCCTGTGGAGTCCCACACTTGCAAATATGTATCGATGCATTGGATTTCTTTCGGATGCTTTTCTCCGAATGTGCACAACTTCATTGTGATCACATTATGCTCTGGTAGCTCGAGCTCTTTGGCGAGATCAGCATCAATGAAGGTACGATCTGCGCCAGTGTCCAAAAGTACATGTAATCTCAATGGACGTCGTGTGCGCGGATGCACCGTATGTAATGTTCCTGTGAAGCAGGAATATTTCTCCTGGTTCACCTTTAGTGGTGTTTTCTATTTTCATCACAGTTAGATTTGGAGCTTCATCCTCTGTGAGTGTGTCATCCTCGTAGAATGCGCAATTTTGCTGCGCTCGAGGTGTTTTCTTGCTGCCCTCCTTCTTGTTGTTTGATGGTTTTGGCAGCGGTGTGCCTTCTGTAGTTTGCTTTGTTTGAAAGCAGGTTGATGTATGATGCTTCTTACCGCATTTCATACAGCCTTTGCCTTTACATTCGGCAAAAACGTGATTTTTACCTCCGCATCCTATGCACCGATTGGCCTTCTTCAGGTATTCCAAACGTGCCTTTGGATTGGCTATTTTTGTGCATTCAGTTGACCAATGCTCTTGGCTGTCGCAATAAAAGCAGAATGTAGTGCGCCTTTTCCTCACTCCTGCTATTCTTTTTGGTGTTTCTTTTGTGTCAGGGGGGTTTTCCCTGCTTTTCGGCATGGACTGTTCGATGGCTTCTTCCTGTTTTATAACCTTGTCCAAGGTTGTCATAAGTTTCTGCAGTGTCCATGTCTCTTGTTGAGGCAAGGAGACCTTTTCTCTAAGAGTTCTCCTTTGAATGCTCTCTGTGAACTTGCACAGTAGTTTGGATAACAGCCAAGGGCTTTCCAAATTTTCGCCTTTGCTCTCCAACTGTGCTGTGATTGCCGACAGTTGATCAAAGAGCTTGCGCTGATCCTTCAGCTGTGAGCTTCTTGCACTCCACTGCTCCAGCTGTTGATGAAGGTTGGTCACGATGTTCTGGACGTTCCCATACCTTTCCCTCAAATGAGCTACCGCCAGGTTATAATTCGCGGAAGTCACTTGAAATCGGGATATGGTGTCGCGTGCTTCTCCCTTTAGTGATCTCAAAAGATAGTTGAATTTCTGTAAATCAGAAATCGGGAGTGTATGCACTGTTGCGTTGAACAATTCCCAGAAGCTGTCCCACTGCCACACTTTACCGCTGAATTTTGGAAGCGGAAGTTGTGGGAGCTCTGCTTCCTATGACGGGGCTTGTTGTAATTTCCTGGAGGTGACCCAAGTTTACCAAAGTGGGTGCGCTCCAGTGTTCTTGATAATTGCTGCTTGCTTGATTTCCAGCTTGATGAGCAATTCCTCGGTTTGAGCCATTATCCCCTGTGCTCTGGTGATGTGTTCCTCTTCTGTGAGAGGGTTCTTGAGCTTATCCACTGCTTCCGAGAAGCTGTATAGTGCTTTCTCGAATGAATTTTGGTGAGTTTTTATTTCTGCCTCCGCATTACAGATTTGCGCTATCCTATCCTTTAGACTTGCGTCGTCCTGATTTTCGTTCTGCATACAGTCACCCAGTGGTGTATGTTTAACTAGCAACTCTGAGAGGGTATTGATATGGCCAAGCAAAACCCCTTTTTTGATCCTCAGTGCTGTTGCCATTTTTTTTTGTTTGTTTGTTTGAAGGAAAGTCTATTTTTTTTTCAATGTTCAAATGTGACGCTAGTTTTATAAATTGATGTTCTACTCCAACTTAGATGCACCAATCACAAAAGGAATAAGGAATAATGCGCAGAAATTCCAGCAGAATCCAGTAATGTTGAGTGAAAGGTGTCCAAAATGCACTTCAGATTCGTAGCGCTCACCTTTGCGACTGCAGTGGTCCAAGGAATCGTCTTTGCACTTGTAATCAATGCCTCGATCCGAGTTGGGCGCACCAATGCACAGAAATATTCGAACACACTCTATAATAGAGCTATGGTAAAGTTCGGATAGAGAGAAAATGTTCTTGTGCACTATAGCCGTTTGTGTTGCCCACCTCTATTATTGATCTTAGCACCGAAGAACGAAATGCTTTGATCCACTTGATAAATGCACCAGGAATAATGCACGAACTAAAACGATATTTGCAGAAAAGGTTTCTTTTGCACTGCTTTAGTACTAACTATATATGTTATATATAGTTGGTGCCCACCTTTTCCTGGTTCTTATAGTGGTTTCCCAAGTTGTTTTTGAATGCACTTGACTGAATCGATGCACTGATCCTACTTAGATGCGCGAACCCACTGATAGATGCTCAATGACGCGCGAGCTATAAAGACGTGCAAATGATAGAGAGGATGTTTCTTGCGCACTTCAACAAAGTGTAGTGCCCACCTTCCCACAATTAAATGACGCAATGGCTAATCCACTTGAATGCACCAATGCACACAATAATAGCCAAAATACGCAGACTATAATACTTCAAATCAGGAAGAGGGTAACTTTCAAACACTTCAAATTCAAGTGCTCACCCTTCTCCGTCTTCTTGTTGCCTTCCTTGACGGTGGTTCGGTCACTTGTGGTAGCTGAATATCGATCGATTCGGCCGATGCACCAGTTGTAGAATCTGTCGCGGTAGGTACGGATGATGACCGACTCGTGCAGACAGCTCAAACTTGGGTAATTAAACGTTTATGCATCATTAATAAACAATAACAATACAACAGTACGACATAACATCAACGAACAACTTCTTAGGTATCAAGGTGAGTAAATACGGTATGAGAATCAAGATGGAAGTGAATAAACGACATGATCTTCAATGAGTCATAGGCAAACCAATAAGACTTAGGAGAGATTCATGACATCAGATAAATTAATGATAAATCAATATACAACATCAATGGCCATGGGTGAACAATCGATAAAGCTAGCAAAATAGAACATGCGAACAAATTGACTTCGAATGATGAGATACGATGGATGAGTGTAAGATAACAAGTGAATGTACGATGAACAAGTGAATTCACGATAAATAAGAATGCGCGATAAACAAGAATGCACGAAATCAAAGGGATGCTCTATCCTGGATGCACAATCCGCGGACGTCTGGAGTAATGAACACTTCAAGGCAAAACATTGGCTTATATATGGGGTTTCCCGCGCGATCTGGGAGTGATCAAATCAAATCAATGATCACCGTCGTGATAAATGCACTGTCTACTAGGGCAGCTTCCTCCACTTCTCTTGAAATTTGACGAGTTTCTCGCCCATATTCCCGGCTCTTATTTCCACCAAAGGTATCCCTACTCTTTCCCATAATGTTTCGATGGCGCTCGGGACATTGGTGTGAATTGTTCCTTTCGTTGAAAGCGCGCCATGCTGGCGAAGCCACTCCTTCACAGTGAAGGTGTGATGCTTTTGGTCGCACTAATGCTAGAAGGCGAGCTCAGTCGCGGGCAGCTGTCATACACGTGGATAAGAGCTCCTTCTAGAACCCAACTGTATAGGCTGTCTGCTGCCTTCACATGATTGCGAATACTGCGAAGTTAGTCGGCGGTGAAATGGTCGGGGGCGAAATGGGCTTACGCACACCTAAAGTGGGGATCCCCATAGGGCTACAACGTCCTGCGGACCAACGAGAGTAAATTCAAGATGTTTGCCGGCGACTGAAATAGGAATGTGTGCGGTCCTGAGGAAAAACGTTTCGATCCAAGGAATTAACTGCCGTATGTAAAACTTGGCGGAGGCTCGCGTGTGGTAGTCCGTAAAAGAAGTTTTACAACTGCACAGGATTAGAGAAGTGGTGGAATGCCGACGTATCAGATAGATTCTAGGAAGGAGTTTCGTATCCGCTCGTATGAAACTGTACGTGACTGAGTTCGCCTTCTAGCTATAGAGCGACCAAAAGCATCGCACCTTCACTGTGAAGGATTGGTTTCGACAGCATGGCGCGCTTTCAACGAAGGGAACAATTCACACCAATGTCCCGAGCGCCATCGAAACATTATGGGAAAGAGTAGGGATACCTTTGGTGGAAATAGAGCCGGGAATATGGGCGAGAAACTCGTCAAATTTCAAGAGAAGTGGAGGAAGCTGCCCTAGTAGACAGTGCATTCAATGACTGATTCCTTACTTAGGCCTTGTTAGTATTTCAGCGAACCCAGAAGATCATTAACAAAGTATTGGACCTGCCCAGTGTTATTCATCATGCGTAAGATTGTTTTGTTGAATTGTAGCATTGTGCTCTCAAGCGCTTTCAACCAAAATTCGAGCACGCTGCATCACCTCATCGCGATCGGACGGTGGGAACCAGTGCTTAATGCAGTACTCGATAAGGTATGCAAGCATTATGTAGGCTGCGGTCAGCACACACAGCACGATCAGGTATTTCAGGATGAGCACTGGGAAGATGGAACGCTCCAGGACGACACTGCACAATGGGAGCTGGAACAGAAGCAATTAGGAACTGCTCTGAAATGTATAGCGTGGCCAAGAACCTACCGATTCACGAGCGATGATCGAGCACATTAGTTCGCTCACAAAGCCACTGGTGGAGACGAGACGGGACGCAGAGTGAAGAGATGGTTCAATGCAGCTGGTTGGGTACATAGCGATCATCAGACCAGCACCCAAAAGGAACGCGATCATCAGACCAGCACCCAAAAGAAACGGCAGTGACAACAACGCCATCATGTCCACAACATAGACCTGCAATAGCGACCACTTAAGTACAAATATATTTTTACAGATGTATTCTGATATTTCGATGGTTTTTCAGAACAAAATAAGTATAATATTCTAGAAACAAGGTAAGTGAAACCAGCTGCGCAAGTGAGATGAGTACATACGCTACCTCACGCACAGTCCTAGGACTGATTACATGTTGAGTCTGGCGCAACCCATTAACTGGTATCCTATTGGTATGGTTGGAAGTGCGCTGCTTACATTGGAGGCCCAGGAGCAATTACGTGTATTTCAAGCAAACCCATATGCAACTTAGTTTTTTTTCAAGTAGTTCACTGAAATGAACTAGAATTGTCCGGGAGTGTGAAGTGTAAAACACTGCTTCGAATCAAAAACCGAATCACACCTTAATAATTGTCCAAAAAAGCACAAAACTATCGGTCAACCCACGCAATGCAATGCACGCCAACTTACTCATCCACTGCCTTTATTGTTTTGAATGGGAGAACAGCGCCGGGCGTATCCCAAGAAATGGCCATCGTTTTCCCTTCCGCTCTCTCCTTGACTTTGATTAAAAATGTCAACTTCAAAAACAACCCGAATTTCAGCATTACTAAAATTGAGAGTAGTTAGGTAACTCCACTTATTTGAGCGTTCAAGGTTTCTAACAAAATCTATCCATTTTCTCCCGTAATATGAAATCACTCTACTGCGCTATTTGAAAATGCTAACGCTTTTGAGTAACTCACCACTATCTTGGTTATCCGGTTCACCGGATTCCAATAAGAATTATAGAAGAACAGAATTATAGCGCTGGTTGCTAGGGATGCGCAAATCGCACCTACAGACATCCACAATTCAACCGAAAATGGCTCGAAAAATGTCGGAATTTAAAGGCATGCCAAATATGCATTCGAACACGTGTTTGGATCTGAATGGGAGCAAATATGTACGCATTCTGAAAGGGCTGATTAACGAACCACGGCTCATCACATTGTCCTACGATGTTTATGAGGAAGGGTCTTTCGGAATCCTGTCTCGCCTCTTAGGAACGGTTTTAATAATGTCGAGGCGTGCATGAAACAATGAATTTTATATTTCACCTGAGCAGCCCTCTGAGCGCCAACAAAT